GAAACGTCAACGGATAACAACGTACCGGTGAAAAGTTACTACGATGCACTTAGAAGTTGTTGCACCCCGAGTTGTATTCAGCCGAGCTAGTTAGCGTTTATTAAATTTAATTTCCAATAAGGTCCAATCTCTGGAACCTTTGCTTTTATTCGTACTCTGAAGTTTTTCTAAAATTTAAAATAGTCTATTCGTCTAATTTCAAGTGCTTCCTATCATAGAAGTAATTTTAATTCTATAGCTATAGTATTTAATTATAGCTTCAATCATAACTATGAAAAGTGCAGAAAGTCGTAATTTGCTCAAGACAACATTGCAGAAAAAGTATTAGGGTACAAGAAAATCAAGTAACCGTAGTTAAGGACTTTTACCAAGCATAGATAGGATACCCTGGTTAATGAACAAGCAAGTTTCGTATGCTACTTGCAGACGGTGTAAGTTGCAAATTCATCGAGGTTACGAGTTTGATAAACACTCGAGAAACGATCGAAAGTTGCTATTTAATAAGTTGGCTTCATGGTATAGAGCTATAAACGGATATTCTAGTTTCTTCAGCATAAATGATTATATTTGCCAGCCCTATAAATTTATCGTTACGACATAATAGCAACATGATGCGAATTAATCAAATTTTAAATAAAAAATTACTCCACAAATTATAAAGATTTACAAAATTTACCGCTCCATCTTAGCGGCCGAAATAAATTACCCACATTTATTTTAAACGAACGTCGATGATTCGTCACCGACGATATTAATTTTCTCCTTCGGCGTTCTAATATTTTGCTTCACAACCGTTCCTGGGATTTCGTCTTAAAGCTCGTGATTCATCATTCGAGCATTCCTATCCACTTTCGGGATCGTGATTTATCGTTACGGAAGAAGACGCAAGGCCCGGCCATAGTCTCGTTGAATTATCGTTGCACGTGTCGCTGCATCTTGGTTAGTTGGCGACGTTGCATAGATTCTCACGAGAAATCGAGCGTGCGATCGAATTGATATCTTGCGGCTGACCGGAACTCAGAACTCGCTTCGAAGAAGTCGATTCACCAACGATCAATAAAACGACTTTTGTCAGCGTTTCCTGATCAGCTCGTTTTATATCTATTCGATTTAAACGGAAAGCGTAGGTTGCTGTATAATATCAAAAATAAAGTAATTTACCTACTGACAGGACATTCAAACAGGACAAATAAAGTACGAAGGTAAGTTAGTAATAAAAGAGAAAAATATACTTAATATCGAACATTGAAACGAAACGATAAACTATAGTTTGAGATAAGCTTAGTCGAGCAAAGCAATTTGCATTCGTTAATGTCCAACATCCACAACCCTATGTTCCCTAACGTGAAATTATTCAACCCTAAACACGACCCTTTTTAGTTGCCTTGTACAACAAACGCAGGGGGTACAGTGGATGAATACTCCCTATCTACAGGGAAAGGAAGTTAATTCGACGATTAATCAATCATTTGAATGATATCCTGTTAGCTACCCCAAAATTGGCGTACAGCTTATCATACTTATAAATTTATTCATAGAGTTGAAAGGAATATTTGTCTTAAAAAAGTATCTACCGTACTATTAATTATGGTGTCAAGAATATAGGGAACTTTTTAATTGTTATAATGAATAAATTTATAATGAATATTGTTATTGTTGTTGTTGTTGTTATTTTATTATCAACGGGTTGGCCTCTTTTTTATACATAAACGAAATATTGCAAGGTGTAAAATTAATGCTAATATAATAATGTTTGTAGACAGTGTAATATGACAACAAATATGTAATTTGTAATTAAAATGAAAAAAAACAAGCTGTTAGAACCTGTTGTCTCGTATTAGAAACAAAGACGTACAAAAGTATAAAAAAGAAAATCGGAAAACGTAAGATCCCATTCGGAAAAGCAGGTACGACTAATTCAATCGGCGTGCAATTGGAGATAGCGATAGCATTTCGCACGGATAGGATGTATCTTTATAGTCTAGGAATATAACCAACCTCTCGATTTCCTTTCGTAGAATACGTTTTTATCTCTAGCGGCAAGAAACGGATAATGCGAGACGATGTTCATAAAAGGCAACTGCTGCGACCAGATACCCGTTCGTTCGATTCTCTTCTTCGGATGAAATGGTGCGGCGCGATGAAAACAAACCTACGGTCGAACAGCGAAGAAAATTGGAAAAGTATTGTTCCTATTTTTGAACGTGGGATCGGTAGTGGGTTCATTCTTGCGAAATAACGAGTCGTTAAAGGGTTATTTCGGATTTTGGTTCGACACTGGACACTCATTACCGCACTGCGCGGGGAGGTGCCAGCGATTACTTGGCGATTTCTGTTCAACGAACGTACAACGTTTCGACAGCTATTGCTTCACTCTGTTTGAATTAACGTCGTCGAGTATTCTCTCCTTTTCTCTGCTAATTGTGTAGCAATGACGTTTCGTTCTTCTTCCCCTGTTTCTCTTTTTAGAATGGATAGTATCGCGTTGATTCTTTGCCGAACGGCTATTCTGAATTGTAATATTCTACTATCTGATTGATTTAGAAAATAAGGGAATCATTTTTGAAATCTATGTATGTGAGTTTGTAAGGTAAAGTATAGTTGAGAGGCAACGAGTCGATCTGTCTCTATCGGTCCATATGTTTATGTTTTACGAAACACGTTTGAAAAGGATACGTGATACGCCACGTGGAAACATCCACGTGGAATACAAATGCGTGAGATAGTAGTCAAGGAACGACGGAGGATGTTTGCCTGATCGGGTAGCAAGGAAGCTCATATCTCTGTAGAAGCTCATATCTCATACGATGACGAACAGACAATATCGAATCGAATTGGAGATCGGCTGAATATATTAGAAATAGGGACAGTGAAAAGTAGTTCAATTATATAATTAAGAAATATAAACCATTGTAAAACGTATTACATATTTCTTAGAAGTTGCTCGACAAAGTACAGTTTGCGCATGAAAATAACTTAAGACTGAGCGGAAATAATGAAATAAACACATAATAAACACATAAATAAATAATGATAATGGTAATTAATGATAATCAGTGGCTATGCTATAGCGATTAACACTGTTTTCGTGTACCTTGATCTTTCATTGGCTATTCATTGGGAATAACCAACTTCTCTTTAACGAATTCTCAATTTACTGATAAATGGTTTAATGTATTTCAAAACTTGCATATTTCAAAATCGTGACGGTGTATCGAAGAACACATAAATACATGTATACTGTGTTCTGTTATTCGGAACGTGTTTATTTGACAGCATATATTATATTATCATATAAATGTGGTTATTATTGTAATAAGTTATGGTCTTTATAATATGTATGCAAACAACATAATAACTTCAGAAGGCTTCTAATAATTATATTAATAATACGTAATTATTATATTTCGATAAGTACGATTTACCGATAAAAATTTTATTATGTTAGTAAAAGTTATTACCGCATGAATTACAGTGGAAATACCAAAAAGAATTATATTGAAAACTGAATACAGCACAGTAATTCTTGACAATTTTCTTTTTCATCTGTTATATCATGTATTGCTATGCTCGTTTTTCTGTTCCGAAATTGTAAAAGTTACTTTACCACTTCTCTTGATAAATTATAGGTACTTATATGTCTGTTCGCACAGTGACGTTGATTTAACTCTCTTGTAATGAAGAGTAGAATGAAATTTTTAATTTTCACAGTGCGGGGTTACGAATTCACTACATTCTCGCGAACCGAGGAATGCTATTTAATATCTTCATTCGCCTTTACTTCGTCAAGGAATATGGTTATGTTCCTTTTGGAGAGGAATATTTGCGCAACAGAACGTATTTGACAAATAGGCAAAATTTTGAAAAGTTTAGTAGACAAAGTTTCATCAGATGCAAAAGATCAAAATCTAAAAAAAGCCATCGACTTGATTGATACATTTCAATTCGACGAGTCTATCGAATCGCTCGCAAGTTCACAAATCTGCGATCGGAGCTCGGTTATCAAAGAACCGATCTCTTTCACGTTTTTCTTGGCTCGTTCGTCGAATTCCGATCGAGCCATACGAAACACTAAATGCACCACGTGTCTTCGAGAGATCGATCAACGTCGTGTGGCTACGCCTCACTACGTTCTACCCCGTTAAATCTCGGTAAAAACCAACTGGAAATTCAATAAGATTATCCGGCGAGCTGTATTCAGATCAAGAATGTTTCGGTATGCAGGAAGTCTGCTCAATTTCTGAACGTTCCACCAACTATTCCCAAGATACGGTCCTGACAGGAGCTACCTGTTGATTTAACCAAGCCATCCAGGTAACTCACGCTACCTTATGAACTACGTATATACTTACGCGGCCAGACTTGCTTATCTTATCTGTATACAGACTTCTTATTCGTTAGCGTTTTTATCTGGTACAGGGATGCGATTTTACACTACATTTAAAACCAACTTTTGTGTTATCGATCCTGATGCCACCCTACCACCTCCTCTTCACGATTAAACATTGAACATTTTGCTCTGTGCTACACTCGTGCGTTATTCAGTGGATCATCTTTCTGGCTTTTTTCTCGATCAGTTAATGACACCGATATAGGAGGAAACGAGTGTCAGGTGATGCATCAAAGGATGCAATTTTCAGTGAGAATTTTCCATTTAGCGGCAAGTATCAAGGAAGCGTCTCCTTCCAAATGGATGTTTACATCGGAAAGAATGGTGTTTTTGTCTTTTTTCGATAATCTAATGAAAATAGTACTTGAAAAGATTGTTGAGAAAATGTATCTATTTTCAGTAATGTAGGAACCCCTTTTCTCACAAAATATTAATTTTCCTAAATGCGCCCTAAATTAGGAACAGTTAATGATTTAATTACAGTTTAGTCATATTTTACACATGTTGGAACACATATCCAAACGCACTGAAGATCGTGCTGCATGTAAACGTTCTTCCATCTGCTGACCTTTAGATCGTACATTCTCTATTACAAAATCGATGCACACCTTAAATGTCATCTCCCCATTAATCGAGTTTCAATCCAGCTCTGTTAGAATATCACTGGCTTTAATATCGATTGCAACAAGCGTGGAATTGAGAATGTTGCTAATTGAAACCTCTCATTTATGCCCTTCGCAATAATAGTAATTTAATAGACGAAATAAATTCTACACGAATATGAATTTAATATTCGTTAAAATTTGTAATAAAGAGAAAATAAAAAAATTTTCAAATGTAACGTGTGACATACGTATGTTGAAACTTTGACATTATATAGATAATTAAATATTTTAGAATCAAAGAAGAATTCGATGTAATATAATATGTTTTCTATCGTCTCTAAAATTATAAGAAGGATATTACAGAAATCACTGATGACTAGCAGAAAAAAATCTATAGCCCAAAGGGAAAAGAAAAGAGATGCTGAGAACTACGAGGGAAAAGGCATCAACACTCTTACAGATTTTTAATATAGACACAGGTCGTTTTACTTTTTTCGCAGAGCCTAAAGGGACACTTTGCTCGACGTCGTCACAAAGCGTTTCGCATCGGATATTTTTATCCCAGGCTAGGAACGATATTGCGCAATCGATAGTGAATCAGAGCATGTTAATGTTTCTTTCGAGAAGGTCTGACTCGCGATTAGCATGGTTAGTTTCCGAAATTTCGAGCGATCTCCTCCTCGTCTCAACTCGTTTCCACTAGAGACTCCTAGCCTCTCTATCCTTACCTTATCATCCAAACTCAATCCGGATTATTCAGGTTGTCTACGTTTGTCACTCATACCGGGTCAATGTCGTTTAATCGACCACGACGACTGGAAGCTAACTCGATGAGAATTTCAATTGAAATCTCGATGTATCGGATAATACAGTCCTACTCTCAGCAATAGATCAAAAATCAATTAAGAGAGCAATTGCTATTCGTAAAATAGGAACGTTCGCCAAAAAATTGACAGTACCGATAAAAAAGAACGAGAATTTATAGTCTAGATGACGTTTGCAGTTTACCTAGTTTGCAAAGAATGATTCTAGGTTTTGTTGATGGAAATCTGAAAAGTGTTCTATTTTCAAGTTATGCCTCGATATACAATTGATTCTTCGTGTTTTTGGGTTTGAGATGGGAAGATATTGCAAATTAGTGTTTTATAATGTTTACATTATAAGTACATAAAACGAAGGAAAGGTAATTAAAAATCTATTTAAGAGATCCACATCGTTTACGAAATTATATTGTACGCCGTTAATTGCTTCGTACTTTGAAGATTAAAATGTATATGTAGTCATATATAATATACACGATATACATAGTTGCTAATTAAAAGTTGTACTTTGTTGCTTTGAATGTGTCTTAGTGTAATTTAGAATTATCGAGTGTAGACATTAATTCAGGGCTTTTACATTAAATTATTTGTGACTCTGGTTTTAACTGAAATATTTTCCCGTCATTTTATGATGATGCAGTACCAGCCTTCACAGTTACTAAACACACGATGATAACTGATCAAAAATAAAAGGCAGTTAGTAAACACAATTGCGTCTGACAAGATTCATATTTGACATTGTCTTCTGTTTGCCTTTCAATTGTAAAACGCTGCTGCCGAAGTCGTAGAAATGATTTGTTCCATTTTGAGTGAAGGTGCAGTGACACATAAAACCGTTAAGAAATGGTACTGAAGATTTCGGAGCGACAAATTTGATCTTTCTTATCGAGCACGATTCGACCAACCAAAAATATTTGAGGACGAAAAGGTTGAGCTGCAGCCGTGTGGAAATTCCGCACAAATTCAACAAGAATGGGTAGCGCAATTTAAGGCAGCACAGGAAGCAATTTGTCATCGAGTGAACAAGGTTAGGTGAGATGACCATATGAGCTTAGTTGGCGTAGCAAAGAACGACGGCATGAGACGCCTTCATTGTTGTTAACAACATTCAAACGGAAGGATTTTTTTACACAAAATTGTAATGTGCCATGAAAAATGAGTATTATATCGCAATCGTAAACAAAAAAAAAGTGTTGGCTCCCTCGGGGAACTGACTCATTCAAATATGAAACCAAATATTTACGAGAAGATACTTTTGTTGTACATTTGGTGGGATATGAAGGGAATAGTGTTCTACGAATTGATCTTACTGGTCACGGAACACGACAAATCACCTTGCAACAAGATAACGCTCGGCTAGACGTTGCAAAAGAGGCGAAAAATATCATTGTTCTTTGGACTGGAAAATCTTCCGGTTTATGCTATTGAGTTGTTATCCATGAACTATCATCTATTCAAATATTCCCAGACTATTTAGCAGATACACACTTCCAATTCTTGTAAGAGATGCAAAAAAGCACTGATGACTTCATTGAATCAAAATCACCATCACTTTTTCATTCAGTGATTCAGCAATTGCCTGGAAGATAGAAGAAAGTAATATTTTGAAGAATAAAGATAGGATGGTTTCTTTCTGAATAAATAATTAATTTATTTAAAAAGCCACCGAATTCATTTCTACATCTAATAAATAATGGTTATTATGGACCGTTTAATAGAACTTGCTTCTCTTTTGATGCATGATGAGCACTTTCCATCGGAATAAAATAATTCCCGTTTCTCCATTCTCTTTGGATTTGATAATTTCGAAATTAGAAGATTTCGCGAAAGAAAAATTCAGGAAGATCTTACGTGATTGAACTTGTCAAATTCGATTGAAATCGGGCAGAGACTGAATCTGCCGAATTAAGGTCGCAATCATATTCCTGGGGTTATGCCATTCGATTATCTTCGTTTCTCTTCCTCTGCGTTTTTCTTAACCTTGCGAAGATGGCGGTTCTAAAAATTCTATTCGAGAGATATAATGAATTTAACCTGTGCTACAATGCCGACTTCTCATATAAAATAGTAAATCACTTCAATCTTGATCTACTTTAAATTTCGAATATTATGGAATATTCTGATATCGCAACGTGCAATTAATTGTTCTTTCGCGTAAAACGCAAATTCTCTGTGTCTGTATTTCAATGAAATGTTAATGTTATTCGACAAGAAACGAGCGAAACAAGTTCGGTGTCGCGGCGCTCTGTGACATTTTTCAATTTTCCATGTTCATAATGTCCACGCAATTGCATCGGTGCCTCGTACAGAGAAAAAGTGAGAAAAAGAGAAAAGAAAACAGGAAAGGAAGGTGACGTATACAAATTGTTATAGGTTTATCGCTATTTTTCTAGTCATTGGATTTGCTGCTGTTTCTTTCATAACTTCCGTTTCCGTTGCCTATCGCATGCACATCATTAAGTTTCGATTTAGCGTGTTGGTACTCAATCTTATCTCGTTCCACAGAATTTCGCTTCGTATCATTTCGTATCATATGGTAATTGCTCGTACGATAACATTGAGCTACTTAACTATAAATGACCCTTGTTGATCAATTAGAAACATTGTGCGACATTTTCTTATATTTAATTGCCTGTATTAAAATCAGTATTTAGCGATTCCATTTATTTGTCGGATAACTAGCACTTAATAATGGGCATCAATAATTAATTCTGTATTGTAGCAGTTCCAAAAATATACAGAGTGGTTGGTAACTGGTGGTACAAGCGGAAAGGAGGTGATTCTACTCAAAAAAAGAAGTCGAAAATATAGAATAAAAATTTCTTTTTTTCATTTTTTTTTTTTTTAATTTTTCCATCGAGACAACGATCTACAGTGAGATCCGTTATAACGAGATGTGATAAAGTGCACGCGTACCAAGCGAAAATTCAAAGTCGATTTTCTCGAAAACAAAGCCTCAAACGAAAAATTTTTATTCTATATTTTCGACTTCTTTTTTCGCGTACAATCACCCCCTTTCCGCTTGTACCACCAGTTACCAACCACCCTGTATATGTATACATACAGAATTAATCACGGGAACATAATACATAAACACATAATATACAGTGACGAGCAGAAGTGTAAACACACTCCGCTGATTTTATGTAAAAGGCGATACTACGACTAATTTTTCAAGTGATCGGTAAAAATTAGGTAACAGTAACTACAAGCTACGTCTGATTAACAAAATGTAACAGTTCATTATCACTAACATTAATGATGTACAGAATATTTTATAATAATTGTGTTTTGATATAATGTTTACAGTTTTAGACGTTTTGTCAGAAACGTTTATGATAGCATGTAAATGCCAGGGAAACGAAACTGTCAATAAGCACTGATTGTTCACTGTTTTGCTGTTCCACACCATTTCGCTGTCAACTGTTCCACACCATTGTTAGATTACTTTTCAGTTTGATATGCTTAATCCAAGATGAAGCCACTGAAGATAAAAAGAACAACAGTTTGATATGCTTAATCCAAGATGAAGCCACTTAGTGGAGATAAAAAGAACAGTATTATTTGTTTGTGTGATAAAGATCTGTCGTTGCGGCAAATTGCAGAGAAATGTGGTGTCAGTCATACGATGGTTGCAAGAATAAGAAAAAAGTATGTTAGTGCGTTTGTTTGTGTGATAAAGGTTTGTCGTTGCGGTAAATTGCAGAGAAATGTGGTGTCAGTCATAGTTGCAAGAATAAGAAAAAAGTATGTGAGTACACCAATTTCTTCACAAAACGGTAGACCGCGACTTATTTCGGATAGAGCAGCACGTGAAATTGCACACTGTATTCGGTCGGATAGTTACAAAACACCAAAAATTGCTGCTCAGGAAATCGAAGTAAGTGCTAGCGAATGGAACATTCGTCGCTCTTTAAAGAGAATTGGTTTACGAGCGAAGGAAAAAGAAAGTAAACCAGCTCTTTCAAACAAAAATATTAAATTACGAAAACAATTTGTTGACACCTATAAAGAATGGACGACCGAAGATTGGAAAAGAGTTATATGGAATGACGAAACAAAAATTAACAGATTCGAATCCGACAGAAGGTCCTGGTATTGGACTTCATCCGAGAATAATGATCAACCAGGTGGTATAAAACAAACTATGAAGTTTAGAGGTGGCTCAATTATGTATTGGGGTTGCTTGACTCTGTTACTGTTACTGTGTTGGGGTGTTGATCCCTTAGTTCGAATCGAAGGTATAATGCGAAAAGAGCATTTATTTGACCATTCTACAAAGTAATTTACCTTCTGTAGTTAATTTTATTGGATATAATGAACGTGAAGTAGTATTTCAACAAGACGGGGATCCTAAGCATACTGCAAAAATAGTTAAAACCTGGTTAGAAAATCAAAATTTTTCTGTGATGAAGTGGCCAGCACAAAGTCCGGATATGAATTCGATCGAAAATTTGTGGTCCATTTTGAAAAGAAGGCTGGCAAAATATAATAATCCACCTTCAGGTGCTCATGAATTATGGAAAAGAACACAACAGGAATGGCACAATATTGAATCACAAATAATTAAAAATTTAATTGACAGTATGCCTTGTAGATTAAAAGCATTAAAAAAAGTAAAGGAAAGTGGACGAAATACTAGGTTGAAACCTTAATTCGACGAGTATAATTAAAGTGCAAAACTGTAAACATGGTTTGAGATGTCCATTTTTGTAAAATGTTCTGTACATTATTAATGAAAATAAACTATTACATTTCGTTAATCAGACGCAGCTTGTAGTTACTGTTACCTAATCTTTACCGGTCACTTGAAAAATTAGTCGTATTATCGCCTTTTACATAAAATCAGCAGAGTGTGTTTAAACTTTTGCTCGTCACTGTATGCTTTGATTAAGAAGGAAGATGGAAGAAAATATCCAAGACAGAATTGCATCGTCCGAAGTGGCACAAATAGATTTAATTCGGTACAAGATTTGTATTGTGATACGATGAATATATTATGATTATAATACGTGTAGAAGAATAAACGTTTTCTTACGCTTCTGAACACATTCCTTCGTTATCCTCTCCGATCGGCAATTACATACTTTGGAAATTGCACGAGCAAATTATTCAAAATTCGAGAACCAGAATGTGGCTTTCGGTACAGGTAAAACGCCGGTGTAAGTTTTTCTTACCTGAAACAGAGAAGATTAGAACAGATTAAAATTACGTAAAAATTAATTATTGACCTCTAAATTAAGAAGAGAATAATTTGTCACTGTTCAACAATCGAGTTAAATCTATTATTTATGGTTACGTTACTCTTCTAGTTCTTTGTTATTCGCTCTTGTCTACAAATAATTATTCGCAATTTAAACAATTAAAACAGTAACGCGAAATTTTAACGTCGTGGTCAAGGTTCTGAAGCATAGCTAAATTATTTTACAAACAAAGCACAATTCAATTTACGGTTATTAGAAATCCGTGCAATTAATGGCTGTTTGTAGGGAAAGTTTCAGGGAAGTAAAAATTTGGTGAGTGGTTTTGTAACTCGTATTTTTCGAACTCAAAAAAATTTTAAGCGCCGCCTGGAGAAACAGGCAAAGCAACAAGCGAAGAAAAGAGAGAGTTGCCACACGAAGTTAATTTTAAACTTTACTCGAGACATTGTAACATGAATACTTCATCATTCTCTTCCTTCATTCTCCTCCTTTTTCTTTTTCTTCCATCACATCCAATTGTGGCAAAATCTTACTTTACGATATAAATTATAACGTGTCTCTTACTGCTTTACGGTACTCATAATATTCTCAATGTTTTACGGAAATATAGATTTTTCTCTGGAGAAATTACTGTTATAAGAGTTTTATAATACTACTGAAATTTCAATATCCATTTGTGAGAAATAGGTTATACTGCGCTAAAAATTTATTTGCGATCACACACACTATTTATTCTGGCAAGGCTTCTATTTCCGAATGTTTTTGTTTATAGTAACGCAGAAGAGGATCATCGAATATACACACAAAATTACACTTATTTATGTATAAATGACCTTTTAAGAAATACATGACATATCAGATATTTCTGAACGTTGTACAGTGCTTGAGAACGTCAGTAGTAAAATCACACTGTAGTCAGACATGCTTACTATGTATCTATATAATAGGTACAAGAATTTTTTAATTCAAATATTTTAATTTACAGTAAACTCTGTTGTATAATTTGTAATAACAAAGATAAAATAATTAAATATCGCAATGACTGACACATCAAACGCAACCAATGTAAATCAAGGCCCAAATCAGGTTGACAAACTGCACCGTTCCTTTACGACATCGCCTACTTATACTATTTCCATTTGTCTCGACTCTAAGAGGATGAACAGCGATCCGGAGAAACGTGAAAAAGGTATAAAATTTTTGAGAACTGCATATCACGAATACGACTACCAGATTCGAGGCTATAACTTGGAAGCCAAGCAGGCATACGCTTTTATTTCTCTGGCGGCATAAATTTCATTTTCGCGATTCGAATTCGCAGCGTATCGGTACGAAAGAAATCTCGTTTGGTTCGATTCTACGGTAACGGTTTGACTATTCCATAAAACTTGTACGTATGGATGGCACGATAATGTGCGAGTGACACCTTGCGTGGGATCGTTCATGAAACGCCATACCTTTTTTCTGGAGTTTTTCGAACGGCAAGTGGAAGAGGCGGAAAAAATGCTCTCCCCTTTGAAAGGGGGAGTGAAACGCGTAAAACGTTTCTCCTTCGGGCAACTTTGGATCTTGTGTCGAGTTTTTCTGCCTTTTTCCTACGGCTTTCTGCCTGGCAAATCGTTTCGAAAGCACTAACCGGAACTCGGGCAAGTTTACAGCTGAGAGTACGCGCGCGCGCAGATTTCTCAATGCGTTTCAAACTTGAATGATTCGCATGTGCTGATTTGTATCAAATTTTTGGAACGATGCAAATTCTGTTTATCGCTGTAGTTATACAATCTTTTGTTTGGGGACTGGCATTACAGGAGTAAAAAATTAATACGTGACATTCTTTCACTAATTTCGAGATTTCGAAAAACGGAACTAACGTAACAAGCATAAGGCGGCCAACGTTCGAATACGAGATGAGACTTTTGGTGGACGAAGCTGAGGGTAAAAGTAGCAGAGGCGATGTTCGATACGCCGGGGTAGTAGAAAATCGGGGAAATGTCAATCAGTCGGAAAACGCTTGCGGATTACCGTGGGATCGGTTGGAAATGAGTCCCGTTTCCCTCAGCATCGTTGCATTCTTCAATTTCAGCCTTTCTCCGCCATTCTCTCTCTTATTCAATCCCTTCCATCTTCACCACTCATCCCCTCGGTGTTCACATTCCCGCTCCTTTAGTTTTATTTCGCGTAACGGCTCCTTTTATATTTCGTTCGTTTGCCTCCGCGGAAGTTTCTCGTTTTGCTGTGGGGATAAAGTTTACTGTGGTAGCTCCAAGAAGACCAAGTCGCTGCAAATAAAGGAAGCTCCGTCGCGAGTAAATCTTCCGGTGTTATTCGAATGAATGACATCGTTGCTTCGTTCGATCGTCGCGTCGGTGGATCAACTACCGCCACGCCGACTTTTATTTCTTTCCTCTTTTCTGTGCGTTTTAAGCCTCCTTTTTCTGGCAACCAATCAGGATGAACGTGTTTTATAGTGATTTCAGTTAATCGAATATCGTTATGATTTCGCGTCAAATAGATTTGGAGAGCTTGTCACGGTTGATATTTGATTGAAGAATTTTCTAACGTAAAACAATTCTGAGAGTCTATTTAAAATTTGTAACATTTATAAAATGCATATTGATTTGTTGATGTAATTTTCTTCCTCCAAAATAGTGAGATTAAATTTGTTTATTTTAAATATTCCTCTCGATGTTCAATTTTCAACGACATCGTAGTAGCGGTTTATCAATTTTCCATGGATTTCAACGTGTTATTCCAATTTCTATCGCTGCTTGTCGAGCTTCGAGACACTAATTAACCGATCCGGCGAAGTTAGTCTCCCCGTGAAAGAAGTTTTGACAGTATTCGTTTCGAAGATTTCAAACAAGTTCGGATGAACTCGACGCTAGGATGGTCTTTCCATGCTGCTCGCGAAAAGATTCCGAGAAGATAAAGAGAGGAAATCAGCAAAATGGGATAAGTTGAGAAAGAGTACAAAAGAAAGAGCATAAATAGATAGAAAATTATGTCGGAGGTAGGAAAGATTACGTTGGGAAAGTCAAGTGAAGATCATGTTTATGGTAGGCTTCAATAATTTAAACGCTCTCTCCAAAAATATTTGTAATTGTTCGACCGACGAAGATTTTTCCTCAAAATCGTATCGTATTTAAGAATTTGCACTGTGTAATTCTCAAATTTTTAATTCTAAAATTATCTTTTAAAATTTAAGAGATCAAGAGGACTTCTCTATTGAACTGCCATTAAATCTACGACGAAATTCAAGTAAGATAGGTTCTATGCA